CATGTCGCACTGCCATTAGAATAGTGTTGTAACTCAAAATATGTGAAATTCAAAGATTATGCTATTATTGAGCGTAAAATTTAAATCTCTACACGTCAATAAAACCGTCGTTAGAATATTGTGAAAAACCGTTTTAAGATATCTACTTAACTCATCATTAGCTAATTCTGGACAAAACAATCCTTACTCAAAAATTATTTTATTCGGCAAATACGAATTGTTTAAACGTCTGTAATAAATTTCAAACTCTACGTAAATTTTAGTAATCTTTCACGGGAAGTGACAATTAATTTTCCATCGATCCTGAGAAAAACAGTTTTTGAGTTAATACACTACTGTATTAACTCAAAACGTTTTCTGTGACAAATGTAACCTCCCACTGTAGTCGTTTAAATTCCGTAAAGAGAAATGAATGTATTCTGCATAGATTTAGTGCGTGTGTGTATTGACTGTGAAGGATTTTACTATAATTTGTACTATTTATACTGCCCTCCTTTTCATATCCTATCCTAATAACATTTTTATCGAAATGTACTTAATAATAAATAAATATCTGGAATATACGAAATGAGATCTACAATCCCTTCCAATCGCTTTTTTATATCTTGTTTAGTTTCAGTGTTAAGCAAAATCAGTTTAATTGACATTTTTCAAAGAAACATAATTTTAAGTGCCAATCATCATCATCATCATCATATCAGCTGGAAGACGTTCACTGCTGAACGTAGGCCTCCCCCAAAGATTGACAGACTAGCCGGTCGGACGCGACGTGCATCCATCGATTACCCACCGCCCTTAGCAGGTCATCCGTCCATCTAGTAGTCTTTCCGGTTCGTGGTCTCAATTCAAGAACCTATCTGCCCCAACAGCCGTCAGTTCTACGAGGTATATGCCCTGCCCACTTCCACTTCAACTTGCTAATCCTTTGAGCTATGTCGGTGACGTTCGTTCTTCTACTGATCTCCTTATTTCTGATTCCATCACGTAGAGAAATGACTTTGAGCTTTTTTATGAGGCCCATAGTAAGTGACAATGTCTTAGAGCTGTCATCGCTAAGTACCAATAGGTATCTCGTAACTTACCAATTTGCAAATGCGTTAGTTATGACAAGGAGGGCAAGAATCTAGAAGATAAACAGCAGCTGCAACATCTTGTATTCTGTATAGCTTTTAGAATTTTATTTATTTATTTAGAATTCCCTAGTTTGAGACCAGGCAATTGGTGTAGTTGTCTGGCACATATTATTATATGAAATCGCTTTTCGGATTGAGTAATATGAACTACTCGTATTAGAAGATTTTTAAAAAGGCCCTTAATAAAAGAGGATAATTTCACAACACTTACTATAAACTAGTAGGTACATGGATGTTGCATACATACTTTAATACTTTTGTAGATCCGACTGACCCTCCGTGCGAAGTGAGTGCATCTAAATTATTTATCTTTTTAACCGACTTCAAAAAAAAGTTCCCTGTATGTTTTTTTCTATGTATGTTACGCGATAACTACGGCATTTGTGAACCGACTTTGATGATTCTTTTTTGTTGGAAAGAGGGTACCTCAGTAGTGGTTCCGTTTAAATTTAAAGAAAATATTGCACCTCTGAGGGTGGCAAACTAGGGGATGAATGATTTTTTGGGTCGGTTTTTTTTAGTACTCTGTACTGAGATTTTTACAAGTAGCGACGTTGGTTTTGCAATTGTTTGAGAACTTTTACTGTTTAATATTCTACTTATAAACTTTCGTCGAAGGGTACTCACTCAATGACATACACACGCGCTTCAGTGGGATTGTCAATTAATTTAAAATCTGATTTTCTTTAATTCCTGAACTCCACTATTCAGGTAAATATTTCGTAGTTTCGCAAAATCGGCCAAGAGCGCCCCAGACACGCTCACAATACGATTATTACGTAAACGTATTACACAAATATTCATGACAATAGATAGGTGTGTAAACCAGCAAGTAAAAGGACTGTACATTAAGCCAGACATATAATAAACCTGAAAACGGCCTTATGATCACAATATACGTCGCACTATCAGTCGATGACCGGCCGATTGCGCGCATTTTAAGTAAATAACGCTTCAAGATGACGAGATATACATCAGGATATATATTCTTGAGGACGTACATCTTTTGCTTATGGAGTGTGTTCGGACGGAAAGTGTCAGGGTGCGGTTATTTAGTACATGTAACACGTTCAGACCGGGATCAAAATTACCATAATTTGTTATCTCGCTGGACAGATTTTCACGTGGCCATCGGCGAATTTTCGTCAGGCATCTTTTTATGGAATAAATATAAAATTACGAGTTGGGTTAGGCTCAATTTATATTGTGGCGGACCGGAATGGAAGCGAATTCTTGTAACGATATTATACATCTCGCGCATTCCGCAGATTTCAGCTCGTATCTAGTTTGTACGTTACACAATTGACCATAAAGTTCATTATGCTCTGTACAATACCGTTATAAAAAGTCGCTTACATTCCGTTCCACCGCAATACAAATTGAGCCTTAGGCGGAAAAAAACGCAGAGGTTTATTTATATTTATTTATTTGAATTAGCAAAAAAATTGTTGACTTAAGATATCAGGTTAACAGGTTAATTAGAAAGACATAAAGCATAATTCCGATGGCGCACCTTGCCAGATGATCCAATTGTCCGTGCTCCTCCGGTGAACGTGTTAATATTAGGTGGGTCCAATCCGTTTTGTCTACTGAGCCAACAAGTATTGTAGCGAAAGTTTTGTTTAAATGTTTGGTTAGGTAATATTTAGATTTATGTGTTTGGATTCCATTAAGTATTTTTTGATGTAGTTTTTCTAATGGGGCTGACGTGTTCAATAATAATCGAAACCGCTAAATAAATACAGAAAGGAAAAAAGATCACGAGATCCCGCAGAAATTGCGAAAACTTTAGAAATTGAAGGCGGAACTGAGCGAAGTATCAAACTATTTTCTGCGGATTGTAAGTACTTCTGAATACAACGCAATCTGTATGTTACACTCTTATGTATACAGAAAGGTACTTCAATGCATGCGCGTAGGTACCTCATTAGCTCATAACATCTGCACTAGACTAGGGCTATTCAATGCACTGGGCTGGGGAGACAAGTATGCTTTGTGCCGAGTCAAGTGTTAGGGAGACTTTGATGTGGCTGTATGAGGGGTATGTCTATGGAATATAAAAAAATCATTTATTGTACATTCTTTGTGAATGAATGATTGAACGAGAGAACGAATGAATTAAATAAATTAAACACATTGACCGTAAGCAAAGAACTTAGTAAAAACACTTGATATAGCAGTTCCCCCACTTCCGCTCGGACCTCTGACGCGAAACGTACATCTTTTTCGCTCTTATTACATGGACCTCTGAGGAGCTTATTCTGCTAATCATCTTTAATATTAATCAATAAAATTTTAGAATTTGCACCTAATGATACAAACTACTACTAATCAGATATTAAGTAGCAATATTTTACTTAAACAGTATCCCATGTAGATAAATTTTAGCCGTGGGGCGACGGCTTAAGAATACATTGTCGCCTCCCCATACATGCCCGTGGGGGTCGTAAGAGGCGACCGAGGGCGTCACAAGTGTCCATCTGCTTAGCATTGTGGTAGGCTCTGTGCCGACTGGATAGCGACCACAGTACACACGGCGGAAAACCCTCCACAGTGAAACGCTTTTGCGAATCGCGTTCAGGGATCAGTTGGTGTACATCCAGTGCATTTGGCCAGACCGGCAAAATGATAGTGACGGAGTGAAGATATTTGTGTTTTCCATCCGTTACTCTCATCTCTGGACTGTATTCGCACTTTCCATCAGGCGCGGTGCAGTCATTTTGTCGAGTCGCAATAAAAAAAAAAAAAAAAAAAAATGTATAGGCGCTTTTGTGTCTTTTTTTTATAGTAAAAAAAACTGCATAGTAACTGCTGTAGTAGGTAGTTGGCAGTCGCGCGGACTGGATCCTATCCGCTTTTCGATACTCCAATTGCTATTTTACAGTTGATTGCTTCAACTGGGACCTTACTAGATTTGTCGCTTTGCCTTGCTGGTGATGCTGTGGAAATTACACTTAACCTTGAAATTCTCCCATAAACCGCAATCCCCATACATTCAAGTATCAGAGGCCTACAATGACACCAACATTTCGGTGTGTCAATTTGACATTGAAGCAAGTTCTACAGAGCATAAGTACCTTAAATAGTAGGTAGTAAAGTACTTACATAATAAATAACATTTTGTCATTCTATACATGCATATAGCCGGACGATACTTTTTAACTTTGTGTTAATAACACTGATGTTGAATTTTTCATTATTTCACATATTTTTGACATCTTTACTACAATGAGACATGTTTGGTGTATCAAATGTCAATTTCAATAGATAAAATGTGGCAAATTTATAAAACGTTACTTTTAAATAAGTGGGGAATCGTGTGTTATCGGTTCTTTTCTTTCTCTGTGTACTAATAAGTTTTTATTTAATTACTCCTTAACCGTGACTTCATTTGAATTTTTTTAGTATTTGTTTCTGATATTTAATAATAGACTCATTTAGTTTTTTTTTTTAATATTGTTTTGTGATGTTTAAGGAACATTTGTTAACTTCTTCTATGGAGTCGAACTATGCGACAACCATACTAAACATATTTTATATGGGGTATCGTTCACACATTTAACGCTGAGTGTGCTACAGCACGCTGACTAGTGGGGTGCAACCCATACAAAAATGATCTTATACAGAATCTTACTTGGTACTTGGTGCAACGGGCTGGTTTCCGCAACTCTACGACAAAGCGCCTATTTTGCGTGTGGATACAGAATCTTATAATATTTTGGGAAGATCTTATAGAACAATATCAAAGTTGCAAAAACATTTTTTTGAAGTTGATTAAAATTATAAGTGACAGAAAAATAAGAATATAAGTAATTATAAGCTTTTTCTTTATTCATAAATATATTCAATATTATTAACGAATAGATACATATTTACTTCATTTTTATTGAACATGACTCAAAATAATTATTATTGCTTTCTTAAAATCTTTTTTTAGGACTTGATACTACATTTCTCAACAAATTACTAGCGTCATATTACATCCATAAATTCACACAACATAATTTTATTATCACAACTATTTTCCAGCCAGATCTGGTACTTATAAAATATAAGAAAACGTTACATATATGGCTTTCTACAACAGCGGCCTATCATAAAAAAGAAAAAAAGGCGACGTATACATATATTTTTTAATTTATTGCTTAACCTGGATACGAAGTCCTGTAGTTGAAATTATAAGTGTAACCCGACGAATCTTACCAATGTTGTCATGTGATTATTCGAACCAATGGCAAGCTTGGTGTCATGCAGAATAATGTCCAACACATTTACAGCTGTGTAATTAGTAAACAAATTAACTGTTTTAACGATAGATTTAGTATATACCTATAGACTAAATCTATGGTTTTAACATGGGCCATTATTCTTGACATGTGTTTTATAGTCGAAGATTTTTATTGGAGTTGTCTTAAATATCGATAAAAAAAAATAGAAGTATGGTACAGAGTAAATGAATTTTTTTTCAGATTTCAGTGAATAAAAATCAGAGTACATTACACAATTAGTTTTTGTAGGGTTAAAGAATCTCCTCTTATTGTTGGCACGATGGAACGAAATAAAATTGTACAGTGCGTTCAGTCTTGTTACCAAAATTTTATAGGTATTATTTGGTTAGGTAGTAAAGTTGAAAATCGTACAAAATGCACTAAAACTTTGTAATTAAGTTTTCTCTAACTTAACCATTTAGGGTAGGACTTCACTGGTCAGTACGCATCAGCACAGTGCCGTGATATTTTAATAATTGTGTTAATAACACTTATGTTGCATTTTTCATTATTTCATATATTTTTGATAGCATTACTACAATGAGTTTTTATTTAATTACTCCTTAACCGTAACTCCATTTGAATTTTTTTAATTATTTGTTTCTGACATTTAATACTAGACTCACTTAGTTTTTTTATGTTTAAGGAACATTTATTAACTTCTTCTATGGAGTCGAACTATGCGACGACCAAACTAAACATATTTTATATGGGGTATCGTTCACACGTTTAACGCTGAGTGTGCTACAGCACGCTGACTAGTGGGGTGCAACCCTTACAAAAACGATCTTATACAGAATCTTATAATATTTTGGGAAGATCTTATAGAACAATATCAAAGTTTTTAACACCATTTAATAACAAATTACATGCCATTTTTATCAAAGCTCTGCATCTCATATTTAGCAATAACATTACACACCTCCATCTTCACTTTAGGAATCAAATTAGGTTGCAATTTTTTGACACTTGCTGCCATGCTACGGAAGAACACGTCAATTTCATTTGTATTCTCCTTCAGAACTTTTTCTATGAGTTTGTCAATCACTTGAGACCTTTGTTCAGATGTTTTGGGGTCTTCAACATAACCTACTATCTTAGGTCCGTTTACAATCAAAGGTTTTGGTAGAATTTTCACTGGTGTCAAGTTTCTAGGCATGGGCATAGATTTCTTCCTCCCACAGTTCTTTTTTATTTTCTTTGGGGGTTCCTGTTCCTTTTGCACTTTCGTTGGCATTATTATAAATTGTTTTGTTGCTTGCTCCTGTGGGTTGTCTACTACCGTTATCTGAAAATTGAGAAGGGAGTAAATTAGTGATTGTATACAAGTAACAAAAATGTCACTGCACCTAGTTAAACATTACATATACAAACATATATGAGGGAATATTGTCTATTTACCAACAGACATTTTATAATCAGAGAGCTAAACTTCGTATAACATGTAGTTGTTTTAATTACTGTACTATACACACAACAATTAAAGGAAAATTTTTTTGAAAATAGACGTTCAAATATCACATTTAATACTGGTGAGTAACAATTAGTAAGTATTGTGATAGTCAACATTGTATCGGGCATGGGGAACGACCACATACTGGTTTTTCCTATCAAGTACAATTTCTTTGTATTTGCTACAATTAATTACTATATGGAAAATAATACTGCCTAAAAACATTTAGTTTTAATATGTTGCCAAAGTATATTAAAAACTGTCAATTAATTATTCCCCATGTTTAGTGGTAAAACCCATTGGCAAAGCAACTAAGTTGGCAACACCACACTGATAGCAGCAATCTACATACATACACAAGGTCTTAAGTATCTTGTCTAAAAAGTAAACAATGTGTTTTTTTGACTAGAACTCTCGTACGACACTATGTATACACACACATGTGCAACCTCGCGCTGAGTGAGAGCAGGGCAGAATAGGCCATGAGAGTTTTTTCCTGTTCTAAGCTAATATTGCCAAACAACGCTCAATCCTGGGCAAGAATGTTCTCCACCCAGAGAAGACCAGGAAAATGCAAGCTTAAAAAATCATTCAGTTCTATACTGTTTCATTTTAACCTCAAGTTGTAATTAGTGACGATCACAATGGCTCAACTACTGGTTGCAGCGATGTAGGGGTTGCACAGGCCTTAAATAAGATACTATAATAGAGATGTCTTTGTTATTTGTAATTTTACTGGCATGAAAGAAGTGTAACTACAGCAAATAATATTTTTAATTTCAATAAAATACTTCCTGTTGTTTGGTACCATAATCATTTGCAGCAAAACATACACACAAAACAGGTGATTATAATAATTATAATAATAATATTATTATTTTCTTTCGAAATGGTGGCCAAGATAGTCCATTTGTTTAGGTATTTAACTAAATGTAAACTATGTTGCATTCTTTATTGAAACATGTACTTTACAAATCAATAGGTATAAAAATGGGCATGCAATTTCATATGAAGTTAAGTATTTGTATTTGAATGTAAGTAAAAATCATTTATAAATGTATATTTCATTAAATAGACATCTTAAGATTGTTTACATTTAGTTAAGTATCTAAACAAATTGACTAATAGGTTCGTGCCAGTGTCAGTTTCATAAGATAAGCCATATTTATGAAAATTATGGCAATCATTGCCAGGGGTCAGTTTTCAAGCAAATAACAGCATCCAAAGAGCAACACAAAACAAACAAATAAATCGAAGCATAAAAAAAAAGACAACATACCAAACCAATACTAAAGAAAATATTTTAATAATTACCAACATTAAAAAAAAAATTGCTCTATGATATCTAGATATAGCTCACCTCATAATACTCCTGATTATCAGTGATAACCTGTTCAGTTCCCATAATAGTCTCATCATTACCAGTCTGTTCATCCATCGTGTTCTCTTTCATAACCTCCTCTGTGCCTTCCAATGGGTCCAATAGGGTCCCATCAAGGAACTGTAGTTTCTCAAAAACACCAACTTTTGTTTTATGAATGGCTCCCATACGTTTGCTCCTCATGTAGCCATCGCGGAGGCCTCGCCAGCGCTTTTTGCATTCTTCAACTGGAATCAAGGCACTAAGTAACATAGTTTTTAAAGCAACATAGTTTCGTGATTCTATAATAGTAAAATATTTTTGGATTCCAATGTTGATTTTTACAAATCTGGAGAATTTAAAGTGTGTTAAAATGGTTCACAATAAGCTCAAAGTGCCAGGCAACTAATTCTTTGTTTTTTAATAACCACTACTGCGCAGTTGTATAAATGCACATTAGTTGTACTTATCTAGATTTTTTTACGTCTTAGTGCCAAAAATAGACGAGAGTCGTGCTGGAACCGTCGGCAAACGTTTTTGAACTCATAAATAATTATGCACCATTCAAATTTCAAAACACTGATAGATAACTACAGCTGATTTCCTACAACAACTATTGCTGTTGTTAAGTGCAGCACAAGTTTATTAGGAGCCAATGGAAAACTCACCTGGTTTCGCCAAAGCTGCTGATATTTCATGCCATGTTGATTCCCTCGCAAGAATGTTCTTCCGGGATGGATCAAAGATGTTATATAAAAAGGTGTGCGGCTGCACTAATTGTGCTAATTTTTCGTCCTCGTCTGTACTCCAGCCAACGGCGTTCAAAGGCATTTCCAGTACCCCGATATTCGCCTGCGTCAAGGCGTCGAAACAAAATGTCGGTCGCCCTATCACAAACGAAAATAGACGCGCTGCGCAGCACAACGTCATAAAATCTGATTGGTTGTTCAGATTACGTGTAACTCTGCACGTTGTGCCATCTGGCGTCGAGTAGTGATTCAATATCAAAAGTTGGTATTAGTCTCTACTTGCGTACGAAGTGGTAAGACCACTTGTCACAAGATGGCGTTCGTGAATGATTCTTATGTTTGTTTCTAATACTGTGCTGCATACTTAACTCTTGTAGCAACTAGATGGCGTCAGTTATCGTAAGTTTACAATCTTAAAAGATTTTTTACTCAGTTCTGTAGCTTTAATTAATTAACAAGTCTAATCGTTTACGTCTTGTAACTAGATCTTATTTATTAGTAGTTCTTTAATGCACACGGTTAAAATATGTTCTACAACAATTTTACAAGGGTAGTAATTACCTAGTTTTTAGTAAGCTTTCACATGCAAGAATACTCTTTGTGCAGTTTCAAATTGCAGCAGACCAGCATTGCCTCTTATTTAACTCTTTGATTACGTAAAATGTGTAGTTAAGTTTAATAATAATCACTGGCTTAGTGATCCGGGAAAAAATAATGAGGAAATAAAACTCTTGGAGACATTTGAAATAACCTATCCGCCTTGCACCACCCTTTTGGGTTAATGACCTAAACCTTAGAAACCCCGTACCCAACAGTGGGATGATTACAGTCTGTCAGTGTACAGAGTACTTCGGAACTATTTGTCAATTTCGTAATTTTTGTTTACAAACACTCTCCCAAGCTTCTACCGAGAGCTAGTTGGAATCGGCCAATGACCAACATAAAAAGGTCTACAGACAATACTTAAGGCAAGGAAAAGAAGAGTTCTTGTTAATGTTGTAAGTTAAGCTTCTTGCACCATTTTGTTTAGTCTTGGCATAGCTCGGATCATGATAAGATAGCAAAGCCCCACCTTGCGTCATCATAACCAGACATCGAAATAGGCATACCTAGTATATAAAGTTCAAGTTATACACATAGAATGATTGAAAAAGAAAAGTCAATAATCAAAATGAAACATATTCGTCGACATATTTAGAATATAACAAAAACAAAATGTTGACGTATGACAACGTTCACATGAAACGCTCTTTTTTTTTAGTAAAGTCAAGTGACGGGACGAACAAGTCGTGCGCCTGATGGTAAGCTACACGCTTGTTGCAGTGCCACTCAGAGCTTTAAATCGCAAAGATCTGAGGGGCACTGCCACTGCGCCCGTCACCCTGAGACAGTGATTTACAAGTATAATATCATTGCCCTGAGACATAAGGTGACAAGTCCTATGTGCCTGTAATTTCACCAGCACCTTTACCCTTCAAATCCGGAACACAGTAATACTGACATTACTGCTTGGCGGCAGAAATAGGTAATATGGCAGTACTTCCCTGGACGAACTCTTTCACAAGGAGCTCTATTGCTGCAAGTACTCACTCGCTGGCCATATATACTAGAGGCCTGAGTGTAAATTTGTAATCATTCAAACTTAACTACCACGTTTGCATTAAGATTTTTATTTAAATCTTAAACGTAGGTATGTACGTAAGGTTTCAATTAAAATCTTAACGTAAACGCGATGGTTAAGTTTACACATTTGAAAACTTACACTAATGCTCTGGCCACACATAGGCGGCCGCGGAGCCCTGCCACACTGAGGCTCGTATTCCAGATCTCTACTCAATACTCAAGTCAGGACTTGAGTATCATTTAAAGCACTAGAAATCATACTCCAAGTCCGTGCCATTAAGGTCGTATTTCCAGTGCTTGAAATCATAATTAAGTCCTGACTTGAGCATTGAGTAGAGTTCTAGAATACGACCCAGAAACGCGCGGCGGCCGCGCATCTGCCGCGCGTTCCACTGTGGTAGGGTTTATATGATCCGTACATTTTAAAAATTTCCGCGCCCGGAACGCTTTCGCGGCCGCCTCTGTGTGGCCTGAATGTTTAATCGAAATCAAAACGGCGATTTCTTTTTTCAAATTAAAATATTTTGGTACATGTGGCCAGTGGTTCATATGAACAATGTTGTCTTAATTAAACCTTTTTCGCGTAATTACACCTTTTATTCAGCGTTCTTATAAATATGTCCATGAGTGTCATTGACTTACAAATGAATCAGATTTTTATTTAAAGTTACATAACCTTAATGAATCAGATTTTTATTTAAAGTTACAGAACCTTAATGTAAATACATTACCGTAGTAAAGTAATAGTGAGATACATAATTCCGGGATTTTAGAGTATACCGTATTCTGATTATAACGTATCACACTTTAAGTAGACTTGAGTGGCACTGCAACTGATATGGATAGGCGCGCAAGACTTATTCATCCCGTCACTTGGTCAAAAAAAAAGTACAAAACAAATAGAATAATGACTATTACATTTTATCGAGTTGTAAGGCATTCACGATTGTTACACAATTTATTTATTTTTTGTTTGAAAAATCAAATAATACGTACGTCATTTAGATCAGAAAGAATAGTTCCATTTACAATATGTACATTTAATTTTTTTAAGACTGTTAGAAAGTGAATATTAAAATGCGGTCAGAATCTTACCATTTTTTATTATTTAAAAAATGTAACAAAATAGAGAAATATTTATTTACTTTCTAAACAAATAAATTGTCAAACATAACATTAAAAGTAACGGCCTTCGAGAGTCGTGATTTCGTTAAATATATAACATTAATAGTATTTCATGAAAAGAAAGAAGAAGTTATTAAGAATGATATTATAAATTGTGTAACACGATGACTTTCTAATATAAATTATTAAAACTATTTTACCTAGTAGTTCCGAAATTTGTCACTAGGTGGCATCGATTCAAAATATTTGGTTTCTGACTCGCTGTGAAAAGTTTTTCTAAACTTATTGACTATTCATGAGTATTATTTTGTTTAAGAGCATCCAAGTTTAATCATCGTTCGTAGGAAGGTCCTTGGACCCACGCCCGTAATTCGCGACACCTAAATTGAGTTCCTTTTTGTAAATTTGCACCCACCGGGACTCGTAGACCACAGCAACCTTACCGTTATTAAATTCATTAAACATAATTTATAGGATATCAAGTGACGTCACGAACAAATCGTGCACCAGATGGTACTCAACACGCCTTTTTTTGACGGGGGGAAGTCTTTATAGATACCCTGAGTCCAGGGAGACTCCGGGGTTACGTGGGGACTCTTACTCCAGACTGGAGGGCCTACCCCACTAAAAACCCCCAGGTTTACCTCTCGCCGGTTGAATCGGCGCCGTGAGGTCAGTGAACATTCACCACGACGGTACTCAACACGCCTACCTATAAACAATTGCATTGCTGTTTAGAGCTTTAATCGCAAAGATCTGTAAGTCACTGCCACGGCACCCGTCACCCTGAGACATAAAATTGATAAGACCCATGTGCCTGTAGTTTCACCAGGGAGATGCCGCACGGGCATTGCATCATCGCAACTGCGTTGATTTCAACGGACTAAGAGCCACACGAGCCGTTCCGTCGACGCGAGCTGTTTCAACGCACCGTGTGGCATGCCTTTCTGATTTATATGTCGTACAACGCAGTTACGGCGACGACGCAACGACGACACAACGCCTGTGCGACATCTCCCTGACCCTTCAAAATCGGAACGCAGTAATGCTCACATTACGCAGTAATGCTTGGCGGTAGAAATAGTTATGGAGGCACTTTCCAACTCCAGAAAACAACAACGTGGTAATTTTATTTGTAAGAACCTTTGTAAATAAAATTTGTAATTGCCACGAACTTTATCTTATATATTTGATCTACATAAATTCAATGTAGATCTACAACATTTATAATTAATTTTAAACCGTTTTCTAGAAATAAAACATGAAATTCCATATTAATTAGTACGAACGTGCGTCGGATCTCGCCTTTGAAGATTAATCTGTAATGTTGCACGAAGAAAATAGTGGTACAGTTCAATTTTGTTTACCTATTTTTACGTTGGTTGTGACTCATTAAAACAAAGAATATTTTTTATTTTGTACGTAGTTGATCGTTTTTGTAAGCACCTTGTGGGCAGTACTTAGGATCTCTTTTGGCTATGAATGTTTATCTCTGACCCAATCTTTGAATAATACATAGAGAAACATTGCTTTATGGATTATATTCTTTTTTCAATTAACCCGGAAACGACCGATCACGGCATTTCTATTATTTAAAAACATTGCATATGTTTTTGAAATACTGAAACTGAACCATCGGTAATGATTTATATTTGAAGTTAAAATAATTGTATTAATTTTTTTACAAGTCGTAATAGATTGCATGTTGTTAATTATAATTAGAGGAATATCGTGTTAAAAATATCCGTGTTAATTGTAAAAAAATGTATTATCTTCATATATTTATTTATTTATTTATTTTTTTATTTTATTTATGGCACAATGTACAGACATCAGATACAGAAAGTGAGGAAAATAAAAACACTTAAAAATTAATACAACAGGCATATCTGTGCCCAATTATATTTATTCGTAATGAAGAGACTTAGGTCTACCTAGAATATTGGATGAAAGTAATTGTTGCGTTAAAGGTGCATGAGTGCACGAGAAAGTCCACTAACAGGGAGAGATGGCGAGATATCGTGAGGCGAGACACGTCAGCCTCTAACATGCATACTCCGTGATGACCACGCCTCTGTCAAGAGTGCAACGAAAAAGAAGGAGTGGAGTTCCCTTGCCTGCATCTGTTTTTCCGAGCACATACAACAATAATGTCCTTGAGGTGCAATGTAATAGGCATCTTCTGAGCGAGCTCGTTCCATCGCAGACCCCATCTTTACTCCAGGGGTAGATAATGGTCAAGAGTAACTAAGTCCATATATGTATTTTTTTTATAATGCCAAGTGACGGAAGGAACATGTCATGCGCCTGATGGTAAGCTACACGCCTGTCCATAACAGTTGCAGTGCCATTCACGAGCTTTA